CACAGCAACTTCTACAATAACAGTGGGGGCGATACGAAGCTTGACATAATATGGTAAAGGCTCTTGTATTCATATTGAAAATTACCCAATACAAAATGAACACATTAAAATCACTAGATAAAACGGTGTACAATGTTACCAACCACCAAACATTTTTTTTCATCACCCTTCATTATTTCTAATGACAGAACGTGATTTTTGTTTGTCTGTTGCCATATGGTTTTCTTGTATTGAAATCAATATTACTTTTATCCTTTTTGAAATATTCCTTTCTAATATTGTAAATTTCTTATCTTCCAATCATGATGTAACAATATAATATATTGAACTGGTAATATTATATTTTTGTATGGATGAGACAAACATCTTTCTTACGTTAGTATGTAATACTAATCGATATTTATAAAATATTAAAACCCAGATATAAAACAAAATAGATTGTAGTAACATTTTGGATTTTTTTCCTTATAAAAGAAATCTTTTTCCGATACTTCAAATTCAATAAATGCCTAAAAATCAGTCAATCAATAAGTCAAAATTTGAAAAATGATTTACAAACATTATTACTCCATTCCAGAACACAAATACGAACTTCCACATAAATGGCATTCTGCATCTAAGAAACTTTTTATGGACACCATCCTGACATGAACCGTTTAGGAATTTCGTGTGTTTCAGATGACCATAGATATGCTCTTTGTCGCAACCATAATCCATCCTCTTTTCTTCGTTAATGACTCATCACTTCATGTGGCTTGTCATAAACAACAAACACTACGGATGTAGTCTGTTTGATGATATTCTTTAGAAACATACACTTTGGTTAAGAATCAAGTATTGTTTGTTCCATGGCATTAGGAAAAATCAATCTGAGGTGTAAATCTATAACCAAATGAATTTGATTCCCTAGAGCAGAACATAGCATATTCTACAAAAGTGACAAAATGATAAAAATTTACTGGCTGTGTAAATGCGCTACACGGTGTTTTGTAGATAGGCCAATATGCATTGCCTCGAAGGTAAACGCCCGGCCAGTTGAAGGACTTGGCACAGCAACTTCTACAATAACAGTGGGGACGATACGAAGCTTGACATAATATGGTAAAGGCTCTTGTATTCATATTGAAAATTACCCAATACAAAATGAACACATTAAAATCACTAGATAAAACGGTGTACAATGTTACCAACCACCAAACATTTTTTTTTCATCACCCTTTATTATTTCTAATGACAGAACGTGATTTTTGTTTGTCTGTTGTCATATGGTTTTCTTGTATTGAAATCAATATTACTTTTATCCTTTTTGAAATATTCCTTTCTAATATTGTAAATTTCTTATCTTCCAATCATGATGTAACAATATAATATATTGAACTGGTAATATTATATTTTTGTATGGATGAGACAAACATCTTTCTTACGTTAGTATGTAATACTAATCGATATTCATAAAATATTAAAACCCAGATATAAAAAAAAATAGATTGTAGTAACATTTTGGATTTTTTTCCTTATAAAAGAAATCTTTTTCCGATACTTCAAATTCAATAAATGCCTAAAAATCAGTCAATCAATAAGTCAAAATTTGAAAAATGATTTACAAACATTATTACTCCATTTGTTCCACCAAATGTTAGCTTTAATGTTAACACTTCTTTGAATCTAAAATAAAACTAAATATTTATATTTCAACACCAGACGACTTGAAGATTTCTTGTGTGTGCCCTGTATATATTCATTATAGAATACGACTTGCGAATCATCTCTTAAATATATAATGGAACTTTCATAATCAATTCACATCGAAAATAAAAGTTCACACGTTTTAGTCAAAAACAGATATAGCAAAGTATTTTGAAGCGAATTAGAAAAATGTCAAACTACTTTACAAAAGTATTGTGGTATGTTAGAGGCAACAGTTGTTTACCGATGTTCAAATGTCATAAATTCATTAAGAAGATACTAGCGGAAACCCATTTGAAATTAAATAAAAGAAATGGAACTTTTTATTAGAGAAGATAAAAAAAAAAGGTCAAGTTGGTTTTTAAATTGTTTACATCTGTTTCTAGGGGCTTCAAAAGTTTAATGAATGTGCATAATTTAGGATATCATGCATCTTATATATGTGTTTTTACTCAAATTATGTTATGGAGCTTCGAGATATTTGTAAACTTTTAAATTATAGACAAATTTTCACAAAACAGTTGATTGTGGTAGACGCAAAATACATGTGGATCTTTTTTGTGCATAAGCATAAATTCCGCCGAAAACATCCGAAGAAAGATAATATATTGATCTTTTTAAAGCATTAATTTGCATCTCCGCCCCCGGCGACAGCTTTTTGGGACACAATCCCAAAAATGGGCAATAATTTCATCGAAAAGAGAAAGTCGAGTATACCTTTTTATGCTCAGGCGTGTTTGAGTTGACTATTCTGTCTTGCAAACGTATACAAGAAAAATATTTGATACATCATCTCGCTTCAGATTCTATTATTTTTATTTATTTAGGCTATAGGTTGAAATAATAACTATCAAAATTTACAGTACTAAAAATTGAAATATATATGGGTCAAATGAAATACCTTTATAATGAGGCATAACAACAGAGTAGGTGTGTTCGAATAAAAAATGTTTACTAAAAGTACCTGACGACAGACTTAACAAGTGGATCTTAAAAATGCATAACTTCAAAAATATTTCATTTTGTGTGTGTGTGTTATCTAGGGTAATTAGTCTGCCCTTCCACGAAATATTTAATTAGAATTTTTTAAAATATTTTTGAACTTTCGAAAAAAAAACCTGACAACCGACCAGACAATAGTTTGAAGTTGACAAAATGCATAAAAGTACATTAAATGATGCTCAATAGCCAGTTGATACATTTGTCTTTTAAAATACAACTGGCATATAAGGATCGTAAAGATGCTATGTGGATAAATTGATCGGTTATCAAGAGCAAAATTTAAAACGCGTCATCACTAGTCTACAACGGCTTCCATTTTTACGATGGCGTAATGGGGAGATAATTTTGACGAAGTAGAATCCTGACCGGATACAAATAAAGGAAAACACAAAAATTGAGGGAATCGCATAAAATCGAAAATGAGCGTGAATTGGTGCGTCAACAGGATAAGCGTCACCTGCTGTGCATGCATCAACCGCTATGCGAATCGTCACTCAGTCAAAATGTCACAATAAATAAATGGTCTTAATCGGTATAGATAAGGGTCAGGAGACTATTCTGGTATCTATAGACCTGAGAAAACATGTCGCTAGTGATTTGAGACACAGACACATCGTATAGGTCACCCAATTCGCAATTGGCGACTATAAAACTTAATATAGAGTGTCAATTCTAGTCGTTCTTCCGCATAACCCTGTTTGAGAATATTTTTTGTCAGGAGCAAACCACTGTTAATAAAATCCCGTATAGTGTAACAAATGCACCAGTGTTACATATTAATTGAGACATGTAAACGTCATAAGATTGGACAAAGGGTATGTTTCTGTTGAGAAATGGAAAGTTGATAATTGGAAAGTCAAAATCATCACGTTTTTCATAGATCCTAGTTTGGAGTCCTCCATATGTGTCAATATCGTGTAAAAGATTAAGATATGAATCAGAACTTCTAGTTTCGGTAGTATATCTAATCTCAATTTCACTGGAATATATGAGATGCAATCACTTATTTAAATGTTGTTTATTGAGTAGTGTATCTGAAGGTGTAATTAAAGAATTTTATAGGATACCTTGTCTTTTTGTACTTGAGACGGTTCCTTAGTTTTGTTTTAAATGGATACAGAAACAAGTTGACCAGTGAGTTGCACCATAGTACTCATTTGAAAACCGACTGTTAGTTGAAATATCAATCCATCAAACTCAACAAATATGCTGTGGATAAAAAGTATATTTGTTGTTGGAATCAATAAGGTTCTTCAGAAAATTAAAATTTTCATGACCTAATACACGAAATTTGTATCCCCAATTCCCATTTTTGTAGAACAAGGCACTGTTTATTAGAAAGTGTATTCCATCTTCCAATTGGGCAATTGGAATAGTAGTGTAGAACATAGACAGTTTTATTATTATTGCAAAATTGTAAAGACTGTGACTGTGCATTTTGGAGTAGATCTTTAAAATATTGAGAATCCACACCTGACCGACACCACTGGGTGAATAAACCTCATCACAATTTTCTAAAGGTCATTTTTTTTTACTGTAGAAAGATTTTGGCCGAACATCATGACGATCAGGCTATACGACGTTCTTTATTTGGATTTTTGTGAAGTTTATGTATCAGGTATAAGATAGGACATTTTCATTTACCTTTTTTATGTTAATATCAAAGGAAAGAAGAACGTATATAATTTTCTAAAATCTTTTCTTTCGGAAATGATATAGAGGTATATGTGGGATTTCCAGATTTGCTGCTAATGCCAAGTTCCTTAATTAAACATTCCAAATAATAGTCTCTGCATATGCAAACGATATCATTTGAGACTTTGTCTTCTATCACAAAAACATATTTGTCGTAAAGACAGGATGAAGCATCGACAACCTCGATCTTCCTGAAAGGACAAGTAACATAACCCGTGTGTTCATGCTGCATCGTAGTTTGTTTATGAATGCGCTTCTGAATACATGACCAAACAGCTCTGATCCATTCAGATAATGTATCAATTTTGGGTTCATCTGGCTCACGCTTAACTTATTTTCATAGTCTTCAATTGCACTGACCTGAAGTTCTTCATCTAGTGATGGAATGGGGAATTCAATATATTTCGAATCATAAGTCAAGTCACAAACTAAGTATGAAATCTATGAAAAAGCAAATTTTCTTCTTATTTTTAAGTGCATTCATTTTGAAAAAAAAACTAAAGGGAAAAAATGTTTAAAAATAATACTGTATAACATTAACAGACAATATCTTTATTACGTCACTTTTAAAAATTGCTATATATTGTATGTCGGGTAGATATTGACAGCTTTAGTCATGATTTTGTATTTTATTTTATTTGTTTTCTTAATAAAAGTAACTAGTTCATTAATATAGAAAAACAAGGAGATGTGGTATGGAATGCCAATGAGATAACTATCCACCAGAGACAAATAACATAGATGAAGCAATTATAAGTCATCGTACGGCGTTCAACAATGAGCAAAACCCGTACCATATAGTAAGCTATTAAAGAGCTCGATAGGACAAAATATAAAACAATTCAAACGAGAAAACTAACGGCATGATTACTAGTATTGTACAAAACGATTAACGAAAAACTAATATGATTGACAGGAACCAAAGACAACCACATAATACCGGTAACAGCCTCCTGATTTAACACGGGCACATTTAAAATGAAGAGGATTTAAACATGTTTGTGATCGCTCAACCCTCCCCAACCTGGGACAGTGGTCGTTGTAACAGCACAGTATAAGAACACACTATAAAAATTAGTTAAAAGGGCTTAACATGTTACTTTAATTATTCCTCCCTTAGTTTATTTATTTTGTATTTACATTGTATCATAGATCAAATTTATTTGTTCAGTGTATGTTCACTGGTGTTACCGGTAATATGTCTTTTGATTGAGTTAAGCCATTTTAATTGATATTTTATAGTGTGTCTTTCTATGTTGTGATGTTACACTATTGTTTCAGATAAGGGTGAAGGTTTGGTACCATTTAAACGTTTAAACCCGCTGCAATTGTTTGTACCTGTCCTAAGTCAGGAATCTGATGTTCAGTATAGTTGTCGTTTGTTGATGTAGTTCATAAGTGTTTCTCGTTTTTTATATAGATTAGACCGTTGGATTTCCCGTTTGAATGGTTTTACACTTGTAATTTTTGATACCCTTTATAGCTTGCTGTTCGGTGTGAGCCAAGGCTCCGTGTTGAAGGCCGTACTTTGACCTATAATGGTTTACTTTTATAAATTTTGACTTGGATGGAGAGTTGTCTCATTGGCACTCATATCACATCTTCTTATATCTATTAACTCATCAAATCGACAGTATCCATCGTTACAGACTCTAGATGACAAACTTCGATTTTCAAATTCAAAGGATCGGACAAAATGTCTAAAACTTCCTTCCATAGTAATCCAGGACAACATCATAACTGTATTTCTATCAAAATGTTTTATATTGAAATATATTTAGATTATTAAAGTTAAAAAGAATAATGCATTTGTTCTATGATTTGTTTAAAATTACAGATTGCCTGGATAATTAAAACAAAATTATTGATTTTGATTGTTACAAAGCATATATCTAACGATAAGCTTATCCTTGAGGCAGACCAAAACATTGTTTCATTGTCATGATGAAAAATGCATCATCTGGAACACGAGCACTAACTCCGGCGTAGTAATTCAAAAATTCTTCTTTTGTAATTTTCCCATCTTCGTCATCCGGTGTATCATAATTCTCAATAAAACTCTCAAGTTTGTCTTCCTCTTCATGACTCCACTCGCCAGTTCTTGTTTTCGAACTGGAAGAATACAACACTGAAATAAACAGACCATTTTATAAAAAAGAACCCATCTAAGAAAATTATACTACTGCTTTGGGCCGTGTGCGTGTTTTGGGTCATATGTGCACATATAGTCTTCCTTACATTTCCCAATATATCTAATTCAGAATCACATACTTAGGCAATTATTGTCATTTTATCAAATATTTGCTCAAAGAAAGGGATTCGTGTACAAAATGTAATGAATGTTAGCGGAGTACATCACTTCGAGCATAAGTAAAATTGGCGATTATCATTCTGAGATGCTGTAGAATCTAAGGTGAATGGAATCACGGCTTTGAAACACTTAACCTTTAATTGGGTTTAAACTATAATGTGTGTTTTTTTCTATTGTTTTGTTTGTAAGTCTTGACTAACCAAACCAAATTCTGTTAAAATGTACCATATTTCTTTTGAATACTATCTGGTAAAATTTATTTCTGCATTGTCTATGTTACCTTTAAATTACAGTAGGCATATAAAACACAACTTTCTGCTGCAGTGCATTTTCCCAACCAAATCCGCGCTCTTGGACAATGTTACGATCTCGTATAACAACATGACCATATCGATCATAATCTGAACCTCGATTATTATTAATGTCAACAGTATTTTTCTATTTTCAGAATATGTTTATATACCACAGTATTTCCAAACAAAGTTCCTGTAACGTTGTCTTTGAATGCAATAGAGATTTGTTTGTAATCTTCTTTATGGTTTACTTGCAAACAGTTTTTTTTTTTATCTATTTTGACAGTACTAAGGTTTATAAACTTGAAAGGCCATTACATGTATATCAAGCACAAATATGGTCTAGCCTTTATACACACATCCGTAATGTACTGTACAATTAGTCGATATATCAGCTTTTAAATGCAAACAATTTAGTATATAGATTAACAATAATTTGATCAGATATTGTTTGATTTGTATTTTTTTTCTATTCTCGCAGGACGTTCAGAATTAGCAAATCGAAACCCAATGTGAATATAAACAAATGAATTGTTTAATTGTGAAATAATTTTTATTAGAGGCTTGTTCGACAAATTAAAAGTTGGTTCAAGAGAAATAGAATTTCCTTTAAGCAAAACCATATACACTTTATATGTCGAAACATTTCACAGTTAATCTAAATGGCTTTACAGTTCGTAAAGGCAAGTGGTCATGTTCTTTTTTCCAAAGGAATTTCTCAATTAAGCAATCTGACATACGTGCCCTTTGGAGATATGTTCTTCCGTTTGCAGTTCATTGAACCAATATAGGGTTACTTTTCCCTTTTATCTCCCGATTAATTGTATAAATATTTAATGAAATTGCCTTATCATCAAAATAGACCACAAGATAACTGATCAATATCTATTTATTCCCAAGTTAAAATCATCAACAATTTTTACGATCATCACTCAAAAGGCAAAACTATCTTACAGAATTCTGTCGGAACGATATTTGGGAACTCATAGATGAAAGAACATGAAAGAAAGCGAAAAAAAATGAAAATAACATAATATGCAATAAACAAATGTTTATTATTCCAATAATACAAAATATCCTTTTTGAAATTTCAAACCTAACATGAATACATTTAAAAAGCATGAAACTATCCTCATATAGACACTAAATTCGTAACAGGTATGAGCCAACCACTGTACAAAAATATCCACATCAAAATAACTAAATGATCAAATATTTCAACGTTTTACCTTTTAAATCATCAGTTTTTATCGCTCCATCTCCGTTCACGTCAAGTTTACAAAAAACTTCATCTATAATTTTGATTCTTGCTTGAGGTAATGGTGGTCTTAAACGATGTAGAAACTCAGCAAAATCTATCTGTCTGTTTTCATCAGCATCAAATGACAAGAACAAAAGTTTCAAATCACTTTGTGTAATTTCCATTCCATAGTTCTCTAAACCGAGGCGCAATTCTTCATAACAGATCCTTTTTGAAAAGTCCAGGTCCATCTTTCGGAAGAGGACAGCAAGTTCTTTAATTCCTCCATGTCCTCTATTTAAGCACTGTGTTCTCATTAATTCAAATAATTCTATAGATCTTTGGGAAAGTTCTACACGCCAGTTCTTGTACATTGTTAGATTCACATCCGTCAATTAACTAAACAATAGGTCAGATCGATGCTTTCTAAATAAAATAACTTAGATGTGAGGTATTTTATATGAATGTGCAGTCTTTTCTACAATATGACATGCTTTTTTTAAAATGATCATTTCAAAAAATGTCTCATTTATTATTTATGTTTTTTTTTAAACACGAATAAACATTTGTAACTATAGATACTTGTAACAAAGGTAGTGATGCTGATAAATTGATTTTCTGGAATAATCGTCCATTTACACTGTTACTTGGAGTAATGTTAGGCAATAATTGGTACAGCTATACGAATATCATAACATATAATTATCTTTTAAGGTAGATTTCTGCAAAGAACGTTTTTAAGTTTATTAAAATGAATCGATCTTTTGTTAAAGTAGAAATAGTAGAACACGATAATTTCAAAAGAATACAATGGTTTGATTTTTCTTAATACGGGGTTAATCTTATATTGGTCTCCTTTCTCTCAAAAATCTTCCTTCTTTACTGCAAAAGACAATGAATGGTCCTTTATTTCCTATTTAATTCAGGTCTTTTCTATGCAGTCGCTGTAATTGGCTTTGTATCGTTTGCTTGAAGAAATAACCATTAGATGGTCGTGCAATATTAATATAAAGATTACAATATAATTATGTACAAAATGTTATACGATATTTGTTTTGTTTTTTTTAAATTTTCAACAATTTATCTTAAAGTTAATGAATAAGTGTATATAAGTTATAATTGATAATATTGAAGCATCCTGATCTTAATCAATGCTAGAGAAAAAGTCATATGTTGAGTCGTTAAAAACATATCTAATATTAGTAATTTATGTATTTGTAAAGATTGCCGTCATAATGCTTTATTTGAATTTCCTATCAAACTGCCAAAAATAATTAAGTTTTATCGATAAACAGAAATAGCAGTGTTTCATAAATGATGTGAAGAATCTGTCTTCTTCCTAATCAGACTATTTCAGAAAAATCGAGCCAGTAATCAGTCACTCTAACTCGTAGTTGCTGATAAAAATATATTACAGACAGAGAGACACCAAACGAAAGACGGCCAGAATTTGTAAAAAAAAAAAAACAATTTTACCGTATAAATTGAAATGGGGTGATAATTACAGTTTGTTATTTTTATTGCCGAGTTTTTGGTTAGTTCATGTAATTAATAATATACATCTGCTTTGTTTATGTTCAGTAGAAAATACCATATGTATGATTAAGTTGTTAAAGTTGTTTAGTAAAAAGTGTAAATTATAGAACAGTTCTATTCAAAACACACACAGACAATTCCGTTGTAAATTGATTTCTTTTCATTTCCTCAATGCCATATTTATAATTTTTGTATTGATTATTACAACCCTTGAGCTATTGATACGGAAAAAGGCACCCCAATGAACTTACCTTTTATGTACTATAGATGCGTGTTTTATCTTCAGATGGTTTATTCCATTCGGTTGCTGTCTTATTGACGAATACCCACATCTCATCTTGTTTATTGACGTATACCCACATCTCATCTTGTTTATTAACCATATCAACACATATAATATATACTTGTACGTGTTCGATATTTAAGTTATCATAAATCATTCACGCACTTCGATATTTTCAGTATTTCCCTAGATCAATCATGAACACCGATATTAACATTGATTGTTCGACTTATCAAAGCTCCTTCAATCCCCCATGTACACCGATCTTAACATTACATACGACTTACCCAATCTCCTTGAATCCCTCATGTACACCGATCTTAACATTGTTCGACTTGCCAAATCTCCTTGAATCACTCATGTACACCGATCTTAACATTGTTCGACTTACCAAATCTCTTTATGTCCATCATGTGCACCAATCTTGAAATTGTTCGACTTACCAAATTTCCTTATTTCCATCATGTGCACCGATCTTCATAGTGTTTGACTTATCAAATCTCCTTGAATCTCTCATGGACTAACCAAATCTCCTTATTTCCATCATGTGCACCGTTCTTCATAGTTTATCTACATCCCTAATGTGCACCGTTCTTTACAGTTTATCTACATCCCTCATGTGCACCGTTCTTTACAGTTTATCTACATCCCTCATGTGCACCGTTCTTTACAGTTTATCTACATCCCTCACGTGCACCGTTCTTTACAGTTTATCTACATCCCTCATGTGCACCGTTCTTCACAGTTTATCTACATCTCTCATGTGCACCGTTCTTTACAGTTTATCTACATCTCTCATGTGCACCGTTCTTTACAGTTTATCTACATCTCTCATGTGCACCGTTCTTCACAGTTTATCTACATCTCTCATGTGCACCGTTCTTTACAGTTTATGTACATCTCTCATGTGCACCGTTCTTTACGGTTTATCTACATCCCTCATGTGCACCGTTCTTCACAGTTTATCTACATTCTTCAGGTGCACCGTTCTTCACAGTTTATCTACATCCCTCATGTACACCGTTCATCCCTCATATGCATCGTTAATCCCTCATGTACACCGTTCATCCATCATGTGCACCGTTCTTCACAGTTTATCGACATCCCTCATGTACACCGTTCTTTACAGTTTATCTACATCCCTTATGTGCGCACCGTTCTTCACAGTTTATCTACATCCCTCATGTACACCGTTCAACTCTCATGTACACCGTTCTTTACAGTTTATCTACATCCCTCATGTGCACCGTTCTTCACAGTTTATCTACATCTCTCATGTACACTATCATTCACCTAACGAATCTTATTGATTGACATAAAAATTGGTACTAAACAATAAGGAAATACCGACAAAGCAATGTGTATCCTTAATACGAAGATAGACACCATGGCCAAGACGGAACAAAGACTAAAGACAAACGACGGTCCGAAAAGCACAAAATAGAAAACTATAAAGGTTGAGGAACACTAACCCAACAGAAATGATACACATCAGCAGGTGTTTACCCTATAAACGCACACAGTTTGGACTTTCACTTTTGACTTTCATAATTAACAGTTTACAGCCTGACCTATACATAACAGAAGATATTTACCCTGTAGACACACACCGTTTGAAGTTCATTGAATCTTGACTATCTTACTTTTATTTTTGTTTACAGTCTGACCTGTACATAGCAGAAGATATTTACCATATAGACGTTAACCGGTTGGAGTTCATAGAGTTTTAACTGTTTACTCTTATGTTTGACTGTTTACAGTCTGACCTGTACATAGCAGAAGATATTTACCATATAGACGTTAACCGGTTGGAGTTCATGGAGTTTTAACTGTTTACTCTTATGTTTGACTGTTTACAGCCTGACCAATACATAGCAAAATATGTTTACTCTGTAGTCGCATACCGGTCAGAATTCATTGAATTGTAAACCGTTTTAATGATATGTTTGACAGTTTACAGCCTGACCTTTACATAGTAGAATATGTTTACCCTGTAGTCGCACACCGGTTGGAGTTCATTGAATGTTAACCGTTTTAATGATATGTTTGACAGTTTACAGCCTGACCTATACATTGTACAATGTTTTCTCTGTAGTCGCACACCGGTTGAAGGTCATTGAATGTTAACCGTTTAATGTTATGCTAGACAGTTTACAGCCTGACATATACATAGTAGAATGTTTAATCTGTAGTCGCACACCCGGTTGGAGTTCATTGAATGTTAACCGTTTTAATGTTGTTTGACAGTTTACAGTCTGACCTATACATAACAGAATATGTTTACCCTGTAGACGCACACCGGTTGGAGTTCATTGAATGTTAACCATTTTAATGTTGTTTGACATTTGCAGTCTGACCTATACATAGTAGAATGTTTACTCGGTAGTCGCACACCGGTTGGAGTTCATTGAATGTTGACCGTTTTAATGATATGTTTGACAGTTTACAGCCTGACCTATACATAGTAGAATGTTTACTCGGTAGTCGCACACCGGTTGGAGTTCATTGAGTGTTAACCGTTTAAATGTTGTTTGACAGTTTACAGTCTGACCTAAACATAACAGAATATGTTTACCCTGTAATCGCACACCGGTTGGAGTTCATTGAATGTTAACCGTTTTAATGATATGTATGACAGTTTACAGCCTGACCTATACATAGTACAATGTTTACTCGGTAGTCGCACACCGGTTGGAGTTCACTGAATGTTAACCGTTTTAATGTTGTTTGACAGTTTACAGTCTGACCTAAACATAACAGAATATGTTTACCCTGTAGACGCACACCGGTTGGAGTTCATTGAATGTTAACCGTTTTAATGTTGTTTGACAGTTTACAGTCTGACCTAAACATAGTAGAATATGTTTACCCTGTAGTCGCACACCGGTTGGAGTTCATTAAATGTTAACCGTTTTAATGATATGTTTGACAGTTTACAGCCTGATCTAAAGTAAAATGTTTACTCTGTAGTCGCACACCGGTCGGAGTTCATTGAATGTTAACAGTTTTAATGCTTTGTTTGACAGTTCACTGTCTTACCTATACATATCAGGTAGACGCACACTGATTGGAGTTAGTGGAATCATGACTGTTTTACTTGTATGTTTGACTGTTTACATCCTGACCTATACATGGTAGAATATATAAAAATAAGGAGATGTGGTATGATTGCCAATGAGACAACTATCCACCAAAGTTCAAATGAAGTGGATGTAAGCAATTATAAGCAACAGTACGGCCTTCAACAATGTAAAAAACCTTAACCGTATAGTCGGCTATTAAAGGCCCCGACATGAAAAATATGAAACAATTCAATTGAGAAAACTAACGGCCTAATTTATAACAAAACAATCTACGAAAACAAATATGACAGACTTGAACCAACGACAATGTTTGCTCTGTTGGAGTTCATTGAATGGTTTTAATTTTATGTTTGACTGTTTACAGTCTGACCTATGCATAGCAGAAGACGCTATCCTGTAGACGAGGGATTTTATCTGATCTACACAGCTATGAAAGACAGCTTTCAAAATCTTTTGTTGTCCTGATGTAAAAAGTTTTTTTTTAATCAGATAAGCAGGAAGAGGAAGACTTAAAACATCTGACACTCCAATTTCTCTTTGCCGAAAAAAAAAGAAAATGCCTACCTACCTACCCACTGTCTCTACATTCGGGTAGGAGTTGGGCAAACCAAAATATTTTTAAGTGTGGCCTTATTTTATGAATTGGAAAAGATGTAATGCAGAAATAAACCTTTCGAAACTTTCCCTTTCCCTTTCCCAACAAAAAATACGGTCTGTTTCCACCATGTCTTGTACCTATACCACATTATTGCGACTTAAATTTTCAACTATAAAAACGTATTTTAGGAATTCAATATTGACGATTTAAAGTCTAAACATCCTCTCTTAACTTTAAGACGAATTGAATGAATTAGTCAAACTTTGTTTCATAAAAAATAATAGCCATCAAATATCTTGTTTTCAGAGTGGATAAAGTATAACTAAACAAAAAAAAATACAACTTCGATTAAAAAAGAACAATTCTCTGAAACTGACATCATCAAGATGTTTGGATTTTTTTATTAAATTGAAAATATATTTGTTACGTTTGAAGAACCAATTTTTCCATAGATATCCGACATTCCCATGGGAACCAACTGTGCTTTTTTTGTCGACTTGTTCCTTTAATCATATGAGACATACTTGAAAGCCGTATGGTGACCTGTAGTTGCTTATTTTTGCGTCATTTGGTCACTGGTGGAGAGTTGTCTCATTGGCAATCATGCCATGCATATCTTCTAATATGTATATTTGTTCAGGAGATTTTCAGGAAAGACGAAAAGAAAAGCTTTATCCGTTCATTCAGGTTGTCCTTTCTCTGAATAATTCAGTTTGGTGACAATGGTGAACACGTATATCCCATCGAACTTGAATGAGCCTTATCACCGAATCTGTGCCAACCATGAACAACACTATGTGTGCCGGGTGCCAACCATGAACAACACTGTGTACCAGGCTATGAAGCACGGTATGCTTACCTGTCTGCAGCACCTGAGATTATCTACGATTTTTGAAGGGGTCGTATTGCTTAGTCTTTTCTACTACCCTTTGATATCTTCTGCCTGTTTTATACACGAGGCATGGTTGTCACCATATCTGTCAATATGTTTTTACAAAGTTTAGTCAGGCATTTAATATCAGTCTTTAAATATAAAGTAGATATTCAAGAAATCATTTTATAGAACAGGCATTTACAAAGTATACAGATATTGTCTTTCTACAATAAAATCAAAACAAAATAAACGAAGGAAAAGTTTTCAAAATGTCACTAAATATTTCTTCTAACTAACCAGACTATTTGTTCAACAAGATAGTATTCACAATCTTGCGATTAGCAACATTTCTTTCGTTATTTTCAGCTTCAACCATTTCCTTTCTTATGGTTATAACCTATCCGACACAGTCTTGACAGTTTGCCAAACCAGCTAAAAAATTTCCTGACTATACCGTGGCGAAAAACAATGGCGATGACAGTTAACGTTGAGGGAGACCGTAACATGACCTCATCATCATAACAAAATACGAATCGTCATCAATTGTAGCACTCACGCCTGCGTAATAGTCCAGAAATTCCTCGCGTGTCACAACTCCATCCGGGTCATCAGGAGAATCGATACTATCCAAGAAACTTCGAAGCGTTTGGTCTAATGTCCACTCTCCTGACAAGTATTTGGGATGATTCTTGGCATTGGCTGTGTAGAATACTAAAAAAGAATGAAAAGGGAGTTACTACCTTAATAAGATAAGAATGTCTCCCAGTGCTTGTGGTGTATGTGTAATAAAAAATTTGTTCCGGCGTGATATTTGTTCCGCCGGAACTTATTTCATAGGAAATATGTTCCGCCGGAATTTATATCACAGAAAATATATATATATGGATTTATGTCAAAAGACAAAAAAGTGAAGACAGAAAGAAAACAAAAATACAGAAAAAATAAATATATAAAAATAAATAAATGAATATTTACAAAAAAGGGGGGGGGGAGACTTTTACTTAGATGATGATGTGTGTGCGTTCATTGTTTGCTATCTAGACAATTAGAAATCTTTCCGAACTTTAAACAAACTCGAAGACATTTTTGAAAATGATTTGGTTTTGCTCTAGAGAAAGAAGACAACTACCCGAGGTTAGTAGTTCTATGTTAATTTTAAAATCATTTGGAAGCCAGCGCAGACTTTCAAACATTTTATTTTGTATGTCTGAAAATAATATACATTTAAAAAAGAAATGATAGGAATCTTCACGATTAACACCACAGCGGCAAGAAGGGTCAGAAATAATATTGACCCTAAATAGATCATAGTTTAAAGATGATGCAAAACATCGAAGTTGGGTTAGAATAATATTCAGTTTTCGAATTCCAAACTCATATTGCTTCGGTACAAATATGTTACTCTGAGGGTAAAGTTTTTTTAGTTCAGTTTTAAATTTATTCATTGATTCCGCATCACGAGTTGAATCATCAAGATTATTCCAAAGACGTATGGTTGATGGAATAAATGAATCATTAGTCAATGCTAGTCTGCAGAATGGAATAATGATGTCATTTCCATTGCGTAGAGGATAGACCGCCATACTTTGGATTTTTGGGGGAATTAAATTTGTCAAATATTCTGGAACATTATTTTTTTGAATATTATAAAACATTTGAATTTTTCTTCTCTCTCTTCTTTCAGCTAATGTTTCCCATCCAACTTCTTCATACATAACCCTTGAACTTGTAAATATAGGTAACCCCGTAACTATTCTAGCAGCTTGGAGCTGTAATTGCTCCAGTTTATTGATATAACCTACCCCAATATTATCCCAAACTTCACTGGCATACTCAAATAAAGGTCTTATAAAAACTAAATAGAGTTTTTCTAATTTTTTTCTGCTCAGTTTATATTTCAACTTCCTTAGCATATTTATATGTTTAGATGTGCTTAAGATAATATTATCAACGTGGACATTCCATTTAGCATCATTGCTAAATGTAACCCCTAAATGTTTAGGAATATTTGTAATAGGTATATTTCTATCATTGAATATAAAGTTCATTTCTGGGATTTCAACATTAGAAAATAACATAATTTCTGTTTTATCTGGATTAAAAGACATTAACCATTTTTTGGACCATTCGTTCAGCTTTTCCAGATCATGGTTTATCACAGTTTCTATCTGCAATGTATCACGCATGTGAAATAAGTTCCATTAGAAGATAATGGTTGCTTCTGTTGAGTCAGGAAAGGGCCAATCAGATCTATCCCTATCTTCCCCCAAAACTCGCTTACCAACAGGGACAGATGTGAGCTTTAGAATTGCGGTTTTAGCCTTCTTGTTTTGTATTTGGCAAACTCCACATTGTTGAACATATTTTTTAATATCAAACACAATGCCTTCCCAATAGTATCTTTCTTTTATCTTGTTCACAGCTTTATTTATACCTTTGTGCGCACTATGGTCATGGCACATTTTCAAAATACTCTTGAGTTTGTCTTTTGTCACTACAAGTATTTTAATTAATTGATTAGTCACTTTGTCCTTTTCAACATAGTACAAATGTTAATCTTTAACTATAAAATTTTTCTGGGTAATTTTTTTTATTCTTCTCTTTTCTGCCTCATTAGTGTCATTTGGGTATTATTTTTATTTATCGAGAATGTAATTAAAAAATTTGCTATACTCCACAGGATCCATATTGGATGTTTACACTTTTTATTTATTACATTATCAATATAAAACATGTTTTTATAATGTACTTGAAAGATAACTCACTGATGACAATGCTCAGTATTAAAGATAACTTGTATAATCAGTGGAACACATTTCACAAACCCGGAACTTATTTCACCAGGTAAGGAACAAATCTCACAAACCCGGAACTTATTTCACCAGGTAAGGAACAAATTTCACAAACCCGGAACTTATTTTTCCAGGTAAGGAACACATTTCACAATCCCAGAACTTATTTCACCAGGATAGGAACACATTTCACAAACCCAGAACTTATTTCACGCTGTAAATTGTGGAACTTATTTTATAGAGATGAAACAAATTACATAAAAATTATCTGTGAAAAAAGTTCTCCCAGAATATATTTCCTGTGATATTTATTCCACTTCAACTTTTTTTACAGGAACAAATTTTGGCTCACATATGCCCGGGGTTATATTTTACTGTTATGTTTTTTTTTTTCTTGTCAGAGAGACCTATAGTTGCTTATATTATCGTCCTTCTGTGTCTGGTGAATAGTCTCATTGGGAATCATATCACAGCGCCATATCAATACAAAATACTGAATACTACAATACAGGAAGCCAGTGTACTTATATAGAGGGTATGTATAAGACTAAATTTCGTCTAAAATACTCAAGATGAAATGTCATCTGAAATGTGTTCCATTTAACAATCATACCACATTTTCTTGTTTTTATAAGGAACTTAATAATGTATTTATGTTGAGTCATAGATCAAAATTATTCGTTCAGTGTATATTTACTTGATTTTGTTTAAATATAAAAAAGATGTGGTATGATTGCCAATGAGACAACTTTCCACAAGAGACCAAATGACCAGAAATTAACAACAAATGTCTTTTTGATTGAGTTAAGCCATTTCAATTGATATTTTATAATGTGTCTTTTTATGCTGTAATGTTACACTACTGTCTCAGGTTAATGTGAAGGTTGGCGCCTGTTAAAACGTTTAAACCCGCTGCATTTTTATGCTTTATGCACCTGTTCTAAGTCAGTAGTTTGTTGATGTGGTTCATAAGTATTTCTCGTTCCTCGTTTTTTTTTTTTTTATAGATTAGACAGTTGGTTTTCCTGTTTGAATTGTTTTACACTAGTCATTGTGGGGCCCTTTATACCTTGCTGTTCGGTGTAAGCGAAAGGTTCCGTGTTGAAGGCCATACTTTGACCTATAATTGTTTACTTTTTATACATTGTGACTTGGATGCAGAGTTGTCTCATTGGCACTCATACCACTTCTTCTTATTTATATTATGTTTGCTTTTTTGCATCAACACTATATGTTTCTCATTAGGTCTATATAGTGAACATGTATTTCACAACCCAACCTTTACACAGTATGGTACCGTTTATTACCACAACAGCCATTCAATTGACAGTACCATTAACTCAAGTACAAATGAAGGACTCTTTACCAAGATTGGCTCTTTTATATCTAATTATGTTGTAAAAAATTATGTTAGAGTACTTGAGCAATCGCTGTCAACGGATCAGTTCATTCTTTCCAATACCTTTTGTTTACCCTGTTATAATATTAATACTTTAACTAAGCGTACGACAATTAATTCTTGATTCTTTTCCTACGTAGTAAAAAAGTTATCTATTTTTTTGTCTAATGAGAAAATTCAATTATAATAATATTAAATCACACTATAATAGAATATAAACAAACAGTAACAAACAAATACAAATGTTCCTTTTAAAATCAATGTCAAAAATAGGATTATTCCATGATGATAAACCATGTTGCTATGCAGATACAGTCTCAACATCAATTGAACTGCGTTTTTATTGTTAAATATACTTCCGTTTTTTTTTTATCAGTTAGAATGTTGGTCTTTTCAATTAAAATTGTAATATATGTGCACGTTAGATTTTGTGTACATATTTTAGACCCTGTGACCTGTATTACTAAAGACTACTTGTTAGAGATTAAACATTTGCTTAAAAAATTCAAGACTATTCGCAAACTGGGAAGAAGCTGATAAAAATTTATCTTTATATTTGGTTCGTAGCATACATGAACCTTTAAGTTGTATCATTCTAGTAATACTTTTGATTTCAATTCACAACTATACCTTGCATAGTTGTCGATTCAAACATTAAATCAGATATATTCAGCCGACTGTTCAAGACAGCGTAAGAAAATAAATGCGGACAAGACTGTACATTTTCCGTAATCATGTGATTTTATATATTCCAAAAATTTTAGTATTAACTATGATTTGTAAAAACTAACTACTTATAAATATGAATTCACTGGGTAATTTCCCTTGTTATTCAGTGTCTAATTAATTAACAGGGATACTCGGCCAACTGCTGTAGGTCGAGTAATTTGTCACAACAGCAAAGAATAGTGCAATAAACAGATAAAGATATTTTTCAGATTAAAAAAAAGAACAAAAAAAGAACAAAAGGATCATAAAAACCTGTCACTAATTGACCTGGGCAGTTGATGTACAAAAACAGACAACCAACAACACTGAAACTAAAGCTTATGCGTTCAGAAATACGCGATAAAGAAGGAACTAATGACTATGAATTTCGAAATATCCGGTAAAGAAGAATCTAAACCTTATGAATTCCGAAATATCCGGTAAAGAAGAATCTAAACCTTATGAATTCCGAAATATCCGGTAAAGAAGAATCTAAACCTTATGAATTTCGAAATATCCGGTAAAGAAGAATCTAAACCTTATGAATTCCGAAATATCCGGTAAAGAAGAATCTAAAGCTTATGTATTCCGAAATTTTCGATAAATAACCAAATGCTGCTAGACTTTCAGGAATAATGTATTTAATATACTACAGTTATATATTTCAACCTTAACGAATTATTGTGGTTAAATTCTAATAGCGATTGATAAGATATTAAATTGGTTATGTATTGATTTTACTTGCATGTCCTATCTTTATCAATGCTGTTGGAAGAAAGGATGTGTTATGAACATTTAAACTTTTTACAGTT